GCGCATGTGTTTGAGTGTTTACCTGTGTGTGTGTGTGTGTGTGTGTGTGTGTTTAGGTCCAGGTGAAGCACCCAGTACTTCAGGAAGTGTCCTGGCTCTGCTGGAAAGTCTACAGAACACTCCTCACCTGGAAGTCCATAAAGACATGATCACCTGGATTCTCAAGGTAACCACTGATGTCACTGTGATGTCATTGTGAATTAACACCAGAGTGAAGGTGTGAAGCTGAATCAGTATGACCTGTGTGTGTGTGTGTGTGTGTGTGTGTGTGTGTGTGTGTGTGTAGATGGTGTCAAACATCAAAATGATGAGAGAGCGAACATCGTCAGCCTCCTCTTATACCGTCAGCCTGGAAAGAGGCTCTGAGGAGGTGAGACTCAGCACCGCTTCCTCTTCCCTGGTTATCTACTGACTGATTGGCTCATTAACGTATGTGTTGATTAAGTGATGAATTGATTGGTTCCGTGCTGCAGACGATGAGGGACAAAGATAAGGCAGAGAGGAAGAGGAAAGCGGAGATGGCGAGGCTCCGCAGGGAAAAGATCATGGCTCAGATGTCAGAGATGCAGAAACACTTCATCAACGAGAACAAAGAGCTGTTCCAGCAGAGCATGGAAGAGCTGGAGGCGTCCACGTCAGCTGCCGACCACAGGTACAACTGCATATTTACACCAGTACATTCCTAATACACCTGTATACCCACTTTCATTCACATTTACTAGATGCCTTACTATCAGCTGAGCACAGGTATGACTGTACAAAGCCGTATTTATCTGTTGGAATATGAAATGCACTTAACATTAAGTGCAGGCAAGGACTGGTACACCTGTGGACTCACCTGCTGCAGAGCACACGTGTGATTGAAGAGCTTATTCAGAGAATATTAAAAGATCCTCTCCCTCCTGCTTTACAGTCCTCCCAGTGCAGAGCTCACCTGTGTGTCCCAGGTGGCTGTTGGTCCCAGGAGGGTGGGAGGGACTGAGCGCCGACAGCTGGTCACCTGTATCCTGTGTCAGGAAGAGCAAGAGGTCAGAGGTCACAGCAGAGCAATGGTGCTTGCAGCATTTGTCCAAAGGTCCACTGTTCTGTCCAAAAACCGCCACTGCAACCTGCCCAACCCAGGTGGGCAGAGCTCCAGTTTGACATCATCAGGCGAGTGACCAGTCGAAGTTCAGGTGTTAACCTGTGATCGTGTGTTTCAGAGCACCGTGACCCCCTGTTCATGCACCCCGACCTCTGTCTGGGGATTCACACCGCCAGCTGTGGACACATCATGCACGCCACCTGCTGGCAGAGGTGACTCCCCTCACTTGCACACCTTCCAGTCGGCTCTCAGGATGTTACACCTGTCCTCACTCTGTTCAGGTACTTTGAGGCGGTACAGCTGAAGGAGCAGCGGCGTCAGCAGCGTCTGAGAGGCCACACGAGCTACGACGTGGAGAACGGCGAGTTCCTCTGTCCACTCTGCGAGTGTCTGAGCAACACCGTGATCCCCATGCTACCGCACACAGCCTCACCTGACCACAGGTACGCTCACCTGACTGCAGTGAGACACTCACACAATAAGCACACCTGTGCTGACCACAGGTACACAGGTTCCTGGCTTTTACCTGATGTTGCGTGAATGGTTTTCTCTCTCTCTCTGTTTTTTTTTTTTTTTTCTTCTTCAGTGTTGAAAATCCTAGTTTCGAGGTGTGGCTTAAGACAACCAATCAGCTGATAGCAGCTCTGCACTCTGCACACAGGACGCAGTCTGAAGGTGAGTTACCTGTAAGAAAACGGAGTCAAACTGAGCCGTGTGTGTTAATGTTAATTAATGCGTGTGTGTTACAGGTGCAGCAGAAGAGGCGGAGCCTGTCGTTCCTCAAGGGTTCAGAGTAGACTTCACGCCACAGTGAGTCATGTGCTGTTTGTACTGATCCTGATCAATAACCTAATGGGATATTACGTGGTGATGATGTCATTGTGATGTCACAGGAACCCATTCTCAAGCAGCATCAGTGAGATGATTACTACCTTCAGCCTGTCCACCTATAAGGTGGGACTGAAGGTGAACCCCAACGAGCAGGACCCCCGAGTCCCGGTGCTGAGCTGGTCCTCCTGCGCCTACACCATCCAAAGCATAGGTATACACGCCCGAGACAGATGCACGCACAACCACCTGAGACAGGTGTACACCTGACACAGGTGTGCTCCCACCTGAGAGGTCACAGGTTGTCCTGTTATTTTGTTTTTCTGCAGAGCGCCTGCTAATGGATGAGGAGAAGCCACTTTTTGGAAGTTTACCTTGCCGACAGGTAACACTGTTTATGACAAAGAAGAGCTGTGAATGGTCAGGCAGAGGGGGTGGGGTTTAAGAAGAGTTCACCGAATATATTATAGATCAGTGTATTGATTACTGAGCTCTGTGCGTCGATTGGTCTCCGGCGGATGCTGCGGTTTCCTTGGTAACCTGATAATGTGTGTGTTGCAGGACGACTGTTTGAGTTGTCTCACCAGGTTCAGTTCAGCGTGTTGGACTGCAGCTCCTCTGAAAACTGTTCACACCCACTTCATCAGACTGTTGTCAGGTACAAACACACACAGTCTCATTTACACTCAATGCCTCAATTTACAAAAGAGACCTGTTACTGACAAACACACTAAAATTTCAACAATAAAAGAAACAAAATGTAAAAGAGTCCCCAGAGACGATTTCACAGACGCATTTGTACGTCTTTTGAAGTCTGCAAGTGAAGAGAGCTTCAGATCGTTGTGCAATGAGGACAGAGCAGAAAAGGAGAAAGCCTTCTTCCCAAGCTCTGTACGAACTGATGGAACAACGAACGTAATGATGTCCTGAGTCTGCAGTCTGTGACTGTTTGTGCAACATATACTCTGATATATAAGAGGACAATAAACCAGAATAGATTTTATAGAGAAAGTGATACCTGCGTGGGGCCAATGAGGACCAGTCAACCTGAGAACAGTGGTGTGTTAAAGGTTTGCAGCCAGTTATAAATCTGAATGCCTGGCCATAGACAGCAAATCTAACAGGTGAAGAGAGCAAGCATAGGTATCCAGTAATGTCTGACATAAAATGCCATGATCAGCAGTGTCAAAGATTTCTGCTAGATCAATAAAAAGAGCTGCACTGTAGTTCTTTGTGTCCAAGGCTTCATAGACATCATTGAGAACAGTTAGAGTACTGCGCAGTTTCCTGATGAAAGGAGGTAAAATACTATTTTCATCCAGATAACTTTGAAGTTGATTATTTACCAGTTTGGAACGACCACCACCACCCTCTCCAATCCAGACTCAACGACCTCCACCACACCTCTCACCCCCCTTTCCTCCTCCCTGAAACTCAGAATACACACTCAGGATGTGAGCCGACTATTCCAGAAACAGAAGCCCAGGAAAGCCCCCGGACCAGACGGCGTCTCACCGGTTGATCTGATATCCTCGTTTATATTTATAGATTGAAGTAGAATATGTGTCACTAATTATTATTTTTGCCTGAAATGAAATAAGCTGTTGAATCTTCCTCATTTTACACGATCGTCTATATTTGGGTTCGAGCAAAGGTTTGTTCGTCATGAGTCAATTTCTAATAGGTTGTAATGGATCATGCCATCAAAATTGTAATAATACTAAATTTTTTGTTGTCCTGCACAGTGATCAATGAAGGCTTTGGTCAGCAATGGCTGTTGTGTCATGGAAGGAGATTTTACTTTTGAGTGGACTGGTGGTGGGGTGTTACTGGAACAGCTTGTCATGCGGGTTTGTGTTTGATGATGTCTCAGCAATCCTTGACAACAAGGATCTGCGCCCATCAACCCCAATCCACAACCTTTTTCTCAATGATTTCTGGGGAACACCCATGGCTGAGGTAAGCTTTAAGAAGACTCAAACTCAATACGGGATTATGTAATTTCTCTTTAGAATTTTATATTATGGATCAAATTTGTCTCATTGTCATTTGTCGTTACTCAAAGTAATTTAGAAAGAAATAAACCTTCAACATGTGTCCCACTACAGGAACGGAGTCATAAATCTTACAGACCCCTGACAGTACTCACCTTTCGACTGAACTACCTCTTCAGTGAACTCAGCGCAGCTTCCTACCACCTGCTCAATGTCATTTTACATGCTGTTGTATGTGTGCTTTTCCTGCGAGTGTGCCGATTGTTCCTGGACAAGACTTCCAGCTTAGTGGCAGCATTACTGTTTGCTGTGCATCCCATTCACACTGAAGCTGTAAGTGTACAATTGCTTTGTGAGCAAATGTTAAAAAATGTGTTTTATTAAATTTAATTTGGCCTAATTGAGAATTATGTTCACGTACAAGTCCATGGAAAAAGTGTAAATTAGTGAGAGAAGTAACTGGAAATACTCCTAATTTATCTTTCACTTTCTCAATTAAAGTAATCTCATCAAGTTATGCTCCACCGGATGGGACAGATCCACTGGGAATTATAGGCAAATGATTGGCATTGGTTAGGTGGTCCTTGAGTCCCATCTGCAATCCAACTCTTGACTTCCTCAACATTCTCATGTGCTATTTTAACCATTTTCATGAGCATTTGTTAGGCAAAGTTTTAGGAAAAATGAGATAGAATACAAGGTCACTTTTTAACTTTTTTTTTTAACTTTAGGAACATCTGTCTGGGTTTGTATAACTAAGCATTCCACTTGGCTATCATGGACGACCTGTCATGGATGGTTCACAAATCTGTTGCAGGGATAACACAGATACACAACCGTTCTAGTTTAAATAAACACTTCTGGCCAATTTAGAATTGCCAGTTAAACTTACATATGCTTGTCTTTGGTACCGAGTTTCAAACCTTTGGACAGTGGGATCCAGCCAGGGTCTCTGGAGAGAACTCGTACAAGCATGCAATGTGCTAACACTGAACTGGAAGCTAGGTCCTTCTTGCTATGAGGTAACATAGCCAGCTAAGCTGCCCTAGCTAAGCACTGGGTTCAGAAATTATAACCACTGGATGTCCCACTTGATCTCTAGTACTGCAAACCAAATAAGCATTTTGGATATTAACCACGGATGTTCCCACTTGATCTCTAGTTAACTTTATAGCACATCAGCAAATAAGGTACAGTTTATTTAGTATATAGCATACATCTTTCCTTGATACACTCTTTACTAAAAAGAAAGGTGGCTTTGTGAAATACGTTGAGTCTTTTAATAACCTCCTTGTAAATATTTACCAACTTTAAGCATTGAGCAATTTCAACTTGATTATGGTGCTCCATGTTATGTGTAGAAGTATTTTCACTGCACTGTAAATGTGGCTGAATTAAAAGAATTCTGCATAGAAGAATGGGCCAAAATTCCTTTAGATGGAAAAAACCAGTTCTTGCAAACAGTTGCTACAATGGTGGTACAACAAATTATTCGGTTTTGGGGGGAATTATTTTTTCCCCACATAGAGACAGATAGGTTTAGATAAATTTTTCCCTTAATAAATGAGTTTGTAATTTAATAGTGGAATGTTTTATTTATTTAGGTCATCTAATACAAATATGAATTAAGTCAAAAGCATTAAAAGAAATTAGGAAGGGGTCAGAGATCATTTGAAGTTTGAAATCTACATGTGCAACAAGGTGTTAAAGAGACTTCAATATAGAAACAGTTTTTACATATAAAGACTTTGTGTCTTTACGGAGCGTTGTAGGACATTAAGAGTAATCAGAAACTTAGCTTTGCACCAACATGTCCACTGTGGCATACAATCTGAATGCATTTCAGTGATTGTTAAAATTGCGTTAGAGTGAACCAGACAATAAACAGCAATTGAATTGTCACATCTTGCCTGTTATGGCTTGCTCAAAAAGGAACTCCACCTTATTCAAGTAAACCCTTTTGTTCATGCTCATGACATTAACTTACTTGTGCTACACGTTACATTAAACCTCTGTTTTTACTGTTGTCGTTTAAGGCTGCATTAACATTCTTTAAATGCTTTAAAATTATTGCTTCCATTTTTTTTCCTTCTTGAAATATAAAGATAGTTATTATAGCTTATCATGGATGTTGTCTGTAACACAAAGCTTATTGAACTTAATAGGAAATCAAAACCCTTTAGCTTATTGTTTATTTGAACTTTATCTCATTCTACTGTCTGAAAAGCTTCTTCCCCAATTAGGACTTGTATTTCATCCTTTTGAACATAGCTGAACTGATGACCAGACAGGCCTTGACCAGAGTAAAAAAACAAAGGAAACATTCTGCTTCTTGGGTGTGGAGTGCTACTGTTACACAGCATGCATCACTGTTCCTATCTTCCTCATCTTGTTCTCTAATCTATGCACAGTCTTTCAGACTTCTTGAATGGAAACAATTTGCCTCACAAATGAGCCTTTAGTGTTAGTCCAGCAAATGCCCTTCATGTTATCACCGTCTGGAATCTCTCACTGAACGGATCATTTGTTTTTTGAATTATGCTTCAAGCACTGAAGGTCCCTACATTATAAGCTTATACAAAGAGTGCCTGTGTGTCCCATGTCTTTTTCAGTAGTTTTTTTTTTTTTTTTTTTTTTTTTTTTTTTTGGGGGGGGGCGGGGTGGATCGATTATACTTTTTTATTAATAATTTTGGTTTTTTTTTTTTTTATATCTTCAAACATCTTTAGATACAAATGACACTAAATAATTTGTATCTAATTTGTAACTCCATCCATCCAGATGGATGGAGTTGCCAACTCTGTATAGATGGAAAGTTAAATTTGTAGTTTGAATATTTTCAGGAAATTGAGCCAACTGTAATCAGTCTTTCTAAGATTCTGTTGAAGTAACATTGCACTGATCAGACATTTTAGGGGGCTCTTGAATGCTGCCAGCATTTTTTCCTTCTCCCACTAGTTGACAACTAGGTCAGTCAGAGCACAGTGCCTGTGCTTGTTTTGAATCTTCATGGCAAGCCCTATTTATTGGAAGCTGCAGCCCTCTCATGATGCCAGTTGAATTCTTAAAGTGTAAACAATCCCCTCTTCTTTTAGTGAGTGCTTTGTAGAACTATTTGTGGGACCTTTATGTTCTTAGAGTATGTCTCTTTCTAAGAACTTGATAATGATATTTCTTCCGCATGAGGGCAGTCATCATGTACTTAAATGACAGACGTTGCTGTCAGAGAGACTATGTTACATATAATTGCTTCCCCATCAGTTGATTTGGGTTGAACAGAACTTTTTATTTTTATTTTTAGAGCCTTAGACCATGAGCTCTGGTTCGTGTCAGTCGAAGACACATGTGTAATGTTCTCAGAGTTATTAGATATGTTGTCTGAGACATGGAGGTCATGTGGTGGTGGCTTCAGAGTCGAGGCAAAGTAGCATGGGTATAGAATAGCATCTCCTAATAGGAAAAGTAAACTTTTCTGTATTATTTTACAAACTTATTTCAGAAATTTTTATCTACATTTCAACTTGAATTACCAAACATTGAACATTTAAGTATATTTTAAGAAATCATCTTTCCAAATCTTTATGGTTGGGTCGCTTGTGTTGATCGACTGTTATCATCAGGTCACTGGTGTGGTTGGCAGAGCTGAACTTCTTTCATCAATCTTTCTTCTGGCTGCTTTCCTGGCGTATACAAAGTCAACTGGACCAGACCATTCCATTGGTAAGTATAATGTTCTTCCCTGGCCTTTATTTATTTCTGTCTCATGTGCAAAATCTACTGGGTCGTTAAGTATGAACTTATTTTCAACATGCTGTTGTCTGTTAACATTATTTCATTATTTTAATTGCCAAAATAAGCAAATAGTTTTTGTCTGTTTTAAGTTTTTATTAGTTGGATGTCACTTTTTAATTGCACAATTAATCTTTAGTATTGAGTATCATGAGGAAGAGGCATACTGCAATCGGTATTGGATGAGTGCAGTAGGTAAGATGGTTGTGTGCTCACCAAAGACTGATCTCTGGATAAGATCAAACCCACTGGCTATTCTCTCGGCACACTCATTTTGCTATAGGCTATTTTATGTGTGTGGCAACAGATCGGATAAGATCAAACACCTGGCTATTCGGGTGTTAGCTTCCAGTTTTTTCCACCAATGTTTTGATATAAATAAACACTTCCCTTTGAGGGTAATTAATATGGAATGTTCAGTGTTACTTATTACTTATAGTCATGGTAATAAATCTGTCAAGTCTAAGGTTTTATGTATCCAGACCTGATTGTTAACAGGTCTTAAAATTAGGTAAATAAAACTTTAGCTATACTACAACTTGTGATATATTTCATTATCTATGTATCCAAAATTAAGCCAAAATATGGAAGTGGTGTGTGAAAGTGCACTCTCGCTGCTTATATTCGAACTAAGGGAGTAATAATTAAATGCAGTTGATTAAATGATCATCAGCAGGTTTTTACCACCTGTGTAAAAGCAGTACCTTTGGTAGTCTGCTGATCTTGAGCACTCGGGCATGTATTAGAGTAGAATACATGCCTGTCATTGCCAAGTAGAAAATGTATCTGCAATGATCTTTAAGCAAGCAATTGTTGTTGTAATCTATCTGGCAAATATTTTTTTATTCCCAAGCAATTTGAAGTCTACAGTTCTATAGTAAGAAAGATGATTCATGTACATGCAATCTTCCCAGGAGTCGATGTCTCAGGAAATTTACCCCAAGATCATCATCAAAAAACTGTAGCGCTCCAGCTCATGTCAGTTAGATGTTCAAGTCCATGTCAATACAATTAGAAAAAGATGAAGCAAGTATGGCTCGTTTGGAATGGTTTCTAGAAGAAAGCCCAGGCAGCACAGCATAGGTTTGCAAAGTGGCATCAAACCGCAAGATTTCTGGAACAATGTCCTTTAGACGGAAAAATCCGGCTATAAGAAATGTTGTGCTCTTCAGAATGAATTTGTTATGATGCACATAGCTGTCTTTGTAATATCTAAAGACCTGACAGCAATCAGTGAACTGGATCTATCCTGACCATTATTTGCTGGTTGCGCTGTCATTTGCACGGAGGTATTGAAGGCGGGTGATGAAGGTTTCTAGTTGTTGAGATTGTTTGAGAGTCGAATTTGTTTTGCCAAGCAGGCCGACAGAGCCTTGGGTTGGGTTAGCTTCTTCGACGCTGCATTGGTGATTGCATGATACTCCTCTACGGTTGATTGGTCTGGCTGTAAGTAGTGGTATGGTGGGTTCTGATGTAGGAAGTTCCAAAGGCTCCTACTGTCTGATTCAGCGTAACAAGCTTTTAAATTTCAAATGGACTATGGTCACCAGTCTTGACTTATTGTGCAGTTGTAGCGCAGCTTAATCAAAATTGGGTCACACCGCAGGACATTGAGCTGAGGTACAGCAGCAAATTCACAACAGAATGGCTGAAAAAGAAATGAATCCAGCTTTTGCAATGCTCTAGTCAAAGTCCAGACCTCAATCTGATTGAAATGTTGTGGTAAGAGCTATGCATAAATGAGTGTTTGCAATCTTCAATTATCTGATGTAAAAGACTGATAAAGTCATACAGAAAGCAATTACTTAAACTTGCTGCTGCTAAAGGTAGCTCTAAAGCTGCTGAATTATGGGATGCGTCTGGATTCTCACACACAGCTTCTGCATGTTTTGGAAAGTTTTTGTTAAATAATAATGACACTGTATAATATTCATCTCAGGTTGTATTTTTAAGACTATTAGGTCAGTTTTTATGATGTCCTGATATGTAAAACCTTGGAAATGACAGAGGGTAGAGCAGGGCGATATTACCAAAAATATTTATCACGATATACATTTGAGAATTTGCGATAATGATAAATTTAGGTCTTAGCGTATTGATTATCAATTTGAAAATTTGCGATAACAATATAACTGATGATATAATTGACACTAGAAAAAATACTTTACAACTCCACAACTTTATTAGTGCAAAAAACATCAATGTATTTTCACTTAAACAAGCAGCTGTTTTTTATGTGCATTAAAGTTATATAAAAAATTAACAGTGCAAATGCAAATTCCTTGCTGACAGTTTAACCAAAAGGCATTTCCAGTGGAAATTGGCCGACATATCCTCAGCATAACCATGTATAATATCCACAAAACTTAAAAAGAGGTTATACACACACAATACGGTAATATTATGTTGAAGCACAGTACGTATCACTCCGCGAGGCTCCTGCCTACGATAGCCGTAATGCTCCGACAATCCATCAAGCGGTGCGGCTTCGTAGCTTAGCAAAGTCGTACTAAAACATTTGACAGATTTTCGAGCGCCGTGTACCACATAAAATCGTTTCGAGGTCAGTAAACACAACCAGAATTCATACATAAGGCACACGGGATTATAAGGGGCACTGTCGATTTTCAGAAAAATCAAAGGATTGATTTTAAGTGTGCCGTATTTTCCAAACAACACGGTAATAACGACGGCCCGCTAGCATGCTCTACCAAAAATAGTGCTTTGGTTGTTTTCAGAAAAATCAAAGGATTGATTTTAAGTGTCCCGTATTTTCCAAAAAACACGGTAATAACGACGGCCCGCTAGCATGCTCTACCAAAAATAGTGCTTTGTGTGTGTCTGACGGACGAAAGCTAAACCAGTTCCACACCACTGAAGTTGCAGCATTTTTACAAACCAATTCTGGTTCATCTGTTTCATTCAACGATCTGCTTTCGCCCTTCTCATTCTGCTTTTTCACCATGTGCATATGAAAACAAAGGCACTGCGCATGCGCATTTTACCCATATTATATCGCGATATTTTATTTTCTTATCGTTGCCCAACATTATACCGCGAACGGCATGATATGGCCCAGCCCTAACAGAGGGTATACTTTCTTTTTAGTATGGCTACACCTACCATGCTCATCTAGATGCCTCTAGATGATGCAGCTGTATGTATTCACCAGTCTCCCAAAACAAATTTCTCTAGACCACGTGAAAGAAATCTCTTAAAATTTGGAATTCAGTTGAATTTGGTAAACAAGCACACAATTTCCGTCAAATGTTTTATTGGATAAAATTAGAAAGTGATAGCATTTTGTATCCAAGAGTTCAAATTTAAACTTTATTCTAACGTCATAATGTTCTGTAAAAAAACAATTTCTGCAGTTATTCAACACTAAAGCTTAGGAGCAGAGGAGAAGATAAAATGTTTGTTTTGTTGAGATATTGAGTTTGTATCAGTTGTCCAGTTGTATTCATCTGTGGTACTTCCTTATTTAAATTGCTCTAGTTTTCAAAGAAGATATCACTGTGTGCAAGGCTGGACCTGCATGTTTGCTGGTGAACACACATAACTGTGAGGCAGTAATTTTTAGTTCTGAAGATGCAAGATCAAGTAATTGGTTATAACAGTAGCCTCAGGTTTTTAACTTGTGAGCTGTTATGTTATTTTTTTTAATCATTCTTCTGTTTATATGTATCACAATAAATCAAACTATTAAAGTAACCCAATTTAACATGTATGAGTTTTCCCATTTCCCCAGTCTAGACAAATACTGAAAATATCAAAACTATTAACATAACACACCAAGAATTATGAAGTAAAAAGTGGATTCAATCGTTCAAATTACTTTTTTATAGAATCTTCTTTATGAGGTTTCCACCTTTTACTGTTCAGTTTTATTATCACTGAAGACAAAATTGTTTCTAAACTTGTAACTGGTGCTATATGGAGACGTTAATATGACATCTCAGAGGTTTTTATGTTCATAATGGATCAAGAGAATTTGTTGCATTTGTTAAGTTACCAATGCACCAGTGGCTACAAGGTTAATAAGTTGTCATGTGTGTATATTAATATATATATTTTTGTTTTTTTCTTCTTTTGTTCAGTTTGGCCTCCCATTGCTCTGACAGTAGTTTTAGTGGCAGCGGCAACACTGTGTAAGGAACAGGGAATCACGGTTGTTGGTGTCTGCTGTGTCTACGAGATCTTTGTTGCACAGGGGGTAAGGATCAGAAACTTTTTGTGTCATAAAACATTCTATAAATTATATCTACATCTGACCACACACACACACACACACACTGTATCACAGTCATCCAGCTTTTTGTATTTACCCATGCTGACCACAAGATTTCTGCTTTGGAGATACTCACACTCAGTTATCAAGCTAGAAACCGTTTGACCCTTAGAACCAAGTGCACCAACTTCAAGAGTGGACTGTTCAGATCTTGACATGTCTTCTATCAATGCTTTATCTTTGAGTGTTCATAATGTTGTTGTTGTTGTTTTTTATTTCTTCTATAGGCATAGATTTCATTATTCAGAGGTTGCTTCCTGGAATAAATGTATATGTCATATGGGTATTGCTTTACATGATGATGGTAAGTTGATTGTTTCTGTCTTTTTCGCCATTCTCAGTTTACATTGCCAATGCTGGTGGACACGATATGGCAAGTTCTGCAGGGTAAAGATGGGTTTCCCTATGCTGTCCTGCAAACTCTTCTGAAGCTCATTGTTCTAGTCATCAGCACCCTGCTGCTCGTTATTATCAGGGTCCAAGTCATTCAGTCGCAGCTTCCTGTCTTCACAAGGTAGGCAGTGTTACGGATGGAAAACTCACCAGCATTTTCATAAAATAAACTTTAGCCAGTTTTGTTAATTATTTATTTATTAAGCTAAGCCAAGTGAACATAACAGGAATAACAAGAACGGCAGACGGTTCTGCTCAAAGGTCATTTTCATGGGAAGGAAAAGCCCAGTTTCAGTCATTTAGTGACCTGCTAAAAGGCACACATTTCACAATTTAAAAATATATTTTCTCTAAGCAAAATGATGTGTTGAAGAATTTTCAGTTTGTTTTAATTGATTTGTCATTAAATCTTTTGAGTTTGCCCTATTTTGTTTTTCCTCTCCAGACAAAAGAAAAATAAAATTCGAGTGAGGCTATATATATATATAAAAATATATATATATATATATATATATGTGTGTATGTGTATTGTATATATTATATTATATTATTATATATATATATATGTATATGTATATATATATATATATATATATCTGTATATATGTATATGTATATATGTATGTATATATGTATATATGTATATATGTATATATGTATTATATATGTATGTATATATATTGTATATATGTATATATATATGTATATATATGTGTATGTGTGTATATATATGTATATATATGTGTGTGTATATATGTGTGTGTTATATATGTATATTATATATATATTTATATGTATATATATATATTATATATATTATATATATATATATTATATAAATGTATGATATGATATATAGTGATGTATGTATATGTATTGTATGTATGTATGTGTATTGTATTATTATATGTATGATTAGTATGTATATTATATATATGTAATATATTATGTATAATTAATATACTACATACATACACACATACATGATCATATATATACGTATATATATACATGTGTATATATATATATAGTATCATATACATGTACTATATATATAATATATATATATAATATATATATATACATGTGATATATAATATATATATTGTATATATATTATCATATATATATATGTGTATATATAT